TTACTGAGAGATTCTCTGTTGGTTCTGCCAGTCACTGAGAAATCAGCTGCTTAAACCCCGTTCACTCAGACCAAGAAACTGGTCAGTGATCCTGCTTTCTGGTACAGACCCCTGATCTGTCGTCTGCCTTTGTTATTTGGACTAACTGTAATGAACGTTGTCCTGATTCACTCTCTATGTTATTGTCATATACAGACTTTGGATATTACTAAGTGTACTATATAAAGTAACTCTACATGAATTCATTGAATATGTTAGCAGTCCTGTTGGAAACTAAATTCAAAGTTCAACAAAAACGTGGGTCTGAAAAACTGTCTACAGCAGATGAACAGTGTGTGCATTCAATGTCCTAAAGAAAGTAATTTGAGTTTCTTGAGGAAAAAAAAACAAAAACACAAACAGTGCTTTTCTTACATTCAGTGTAAATAATCTAAATTGTGGTGCATACCAGCAAGCCATATTGTGCCAGAAGAGAAACTACTACAAGCTTCTTTCATCACCTTATGTACTTGTCACATAAGAAGATGATCTTGATTAGTCAAATTGAAACTGGATGATATGCCTCCAAGTCATCTGCTCCACTCCTTAAAGTTACAACTTGCATTTGAATCTTTTGGTTCAGTGTGGTCCAGAAGATTCTCCTAGTGCACGTTTATGGAGGCAGGAGGTCTGTCCACAATTAAAGTAATTAAACTTGAACCAATGTGGAGGTTGTTTGGTTTGATGTTTATTTCTAATACGCTTTTCATCCTTCCTATGAGCTCACTGTCCGGTCTCTAAAACTTGTTTGTTCCCAATTTGCTACTCTATAAAAACAAACAAAACAAACAAACAACACACACTCTTGGTGCACAACCTCAAATTTTGGGTTTAAGGATAGAACTGGAAGGAAATGTGTTAGTTCTCGGACTGTGTGGCATTTCCTTTAACGTGCTGTAACAGATCGTTGAGATCAGCTGCCTTCTTCCATTCCCACGAGAAATGGAGGTTGGCAGATCTGACTAAGATGTTCATTACTCCAAATCTGTGTCTCGCTCTCGTGTGTGAAACTGTATGGCCAAGAGACGATGTCATGATCATGGAGCCTGTTCGTTTTGGCTGTTGCTGAAATGCAAGTCACTAAAAGGAGTTCAGCACAACCCTGCAAATTCATAAACTTTGCTGCTTACTAGAATGAGAGAGAGAATGGTCAGTGTGAGAGGGGGGTGCTGACCACGTCAGAACAACGAAACCTACCCCACTATGAGCAGGAAGCCAAGCACGCACAGGAAATAATTGCTCTGGTAGTAAAGCAGGTTGTTAATGATGCGGTTATTCCAGCGGTCCAAGTTACGCACATCTGGCGTGGCGAACCGGGTCGAACACAGGAGGAAATCATCCAGACTCCGGAGGGGTGGCGGCTGCACGCCTGCCATCTTTTCTAAGCGATAAATACACGAGCTTTCCCAGAGTGCAACGGGGGACGAAGAAATGGGGAAGAACGCTTCAGAGCCGAACTGGCTCGAGCGCGCAATCCCTAATAGCGAGAATGCGCGCTCGTCCACGCAGTAGTTTGGGAACACTGAAGTATCCTTACTAATACCTCTTATTACCACTCACTTGTAGCCCGTTGTGTTTTGTACTCAGTCAATAAGTGGAGCATATTTTAGGATGTTAAAATGTTTTACATTAGTTAAACTGCCACGTTTGCTATTTTTATCAATTAGCACCTAGTTTCGACTGTATTCAGTAAAATCGATTATATTACACAGAGTCCACGCGTGGCACAGGAAAAAAAGTTTTGTTTTTTTTTGAAAGGCACCCATAGTTGCTTTGTGATTTAATCTATTTAATATTTTTATTTTGTTTTCTCAATTGTATATAGTTACTGAAACTATAAAAATAAATTTGAGTATTCAGAAGAAGGGAATGGTTTTGGGGTTACCTATTCATGTTTTCAATCTTAATTTGTAAAACTAAACTTATGAAATAGATGTACCGTAAAATAAAATGTTTCTGTCCCTCCAGGTGTTGTCTTCAAAAATACTAACAAGTGATAATTATTTGACTTCAAGGTACAAACCTCTGGATACGTCCTATGATTTCTTTGAATGATACCTTTTGGACAGAGGATTTAGATAGTTCCACATATCAACAATAATATGGTAAATGGTAAATGGACTGGTTCTTATACAGCGCTTTTCTATATCTGAGCCCTCAAAGCGCTTTATGGTTCTGCCTCATCATTAATCTGAAAACACAATTTTCTCTCTTCCATTAATGCCGTTACAATTAATTTTATACTAGTGTTTCATCTCTCAACCAGCATCTAATTCTTTCAAACCTTTCCAAATAAATAGTACCACTGGATCAAACCAAATTTGATCCAGTACAAATTAACCACAACAATTTTACAGATATTCTATTCTTTGTTGTTTTAAATTTCCAGGAGAGACCTTTGTCAGACCTTTGTCATTGATAGTGAGATTTGCTGGCTGAGGCAGCTGAAAAACTGACCACAAGCTATGACATTTTACAAAGTGAGACCTCTGTGGGAGGTGGATATGAAACAGTATACTTACATACCTTGCTCATACATACTGATCACTCTAGACCAGAAATGAATTTGAGATATGGTTGGAGTAATTCATATCTTTGCATTTATCACTCTTTACAAAGCGTGATAAATGCAGAGGAGGAGAGCATAATCTTTATTCTTTTCATGGCATTCTGAAGGAAGCATTGTGCTGCAAGCCATCACGAAAAAAGCTCGTAATTCTTCAAAGCCAGTCATAACAGACAAAGTGCTGTGCCAGTAATCGCCTTTTATTTAAAACATTCATGTATCAATGTGCAAAAACTAAGACATAACTGTTGAAATGGCTCTTTGGGTTGTTCTTCCTTTGTTTTGTATGTTCATCAAATGTGATTGTTTTTGTGTCAAATTTGGACTTTTTTTATATATCTATTTATTTATTTTAGTGTGTTGTGCGGTGCCGTTAATTGTACAGCTTGCTTAACCTCTTCACATCTACCAGGTCACCAGTGACCGATTTAGGTCTAAGATTACATCCTGCTGTGAGTATTCTGCGACCCTCTTATGGTCCTCCGTCCATCCTGCTTAGCTCCTTCCAGCTGTCTCAGGATCTCCTTAGGGTTGCAGTGGAGGGCTACAGAATGTGTGACCACTACTTCAAATGATGGGTCTGCCTTCATCACCTCAGGGTTGCTGCTTCACCATCTTCAGTTAGATACAGTCACATTCCCCACCATGTTCTCTACCAGTGAAAATTTCCTTTACTGGACAGCACCCAGACCTTGTCCACAGTGACATTGCCACCCCCACTACCCAATGCAGTTGAATGAGAACATGGATAGGACGAGTGGTAGTAACTTTTCCAAAAAGTACTTTATTGAAGTACAGTTTCAGTGTGCTTTTTCTATATATTTTTTCTGTATCTTACTCTACTTCTGCATCACTATATTCTTGATTCAAATGCTATACTTTGTGCTCCATACCATTATTTCTTTTAGTTAGTAATTTTTTATTTTGCTTGGTTATGAAGAATAATGCACAGATTAATTGAATCTTAAACAAATAAATAAATAAAACAACAAAACTTTCCTGCAGCAGACTGGAAGCCAGTCCAGAGTGAACAACGTCAGCTGGGATAGATTTGGGAAGTTAAAGTTGCATAAAATGTCATGTACAGGACATTTGTCTTCTACAGAACATAAAATAGATATTTGGGGCAAGCACAGAAGCAGCCAATATCAGGTCAACTGACAATCTGTGTGGATATTCATTCTTCACGCTCTGTATTTATTTTTATTCTAATGTGCAGATAAGTGTCAGGAATGAAAATCATGCATATTTTGAGCATTTAGAGGTTGAATCCTCGAATCTCTGCAATACAGGTATTGATAGCAACATTAGCACAGCTACTAGACATAATAGCTACTTTTATGGAGAAATACAGCAGGTTACAAAGTACCAGATTTCTGTAAAAATCAGTCCTTACATAATCCACAATAACAAACACTTGTTGCATTTTTATGTCATTGACAAAAAAAGAAATGTAGAACCTACATGGGGTTATTTGACCAAATCTGCAAAAGTATGGGGGATCAAACAAGAGACAGCAACACAGTGGTGACAACAAAGGCATGAGCTTGTGAACAGTATAGGCTGGTGGGATGCAAATGAAGTGACTATGGCTATATGCACTGCAGGATCCTAAGGTTGAGATGTCTCTGCAGGTAAGATCTGGGTACATAGCACTATATGAGAGAGGTTTGACTACCGTATAGATTTGACAGTATTTAATATAATCACCTACCCCCACTTAACATGATCAGTGCACTTCACATTTCAGCTGAATCATTCAAACAAAGAATGTGATTTTAGTAATGAATACGTTTTTCTAATAGAACACAAAAGAATAACCAATCACCTCTATAAAAGGTTTACAGTGTTTTTATTTGTGATCTTTCTCATTTTACAGGGAGAGCGGAACATGTAAAGCCTTGACTGTGATTTTCTTACACTGTAAAAATACAATGTTTGCTTTTCCAAATTCACCAGTCAGCTGTCATTATATTTCTACATCATAGCAGAAATGCACAAAGAACAGTTTCCACATCTAACTTGTTAAGATCTAAAAATACTTTCCACCAATCCCCCCCGTGGAATATTCGTGACATCACCACACTAGGATTAGGAAAAGTATTGCAGTAAATAACTGGATCAAGGAATGATTTTACTGTAGATGTGGATCGAACTAGCATGTGCGGGGTGGTGTGTTTGACTGCCGCCTGCTACATGTGGCACATGAACTGCTCTTATCCAGAGTAGACTCCTTAAGAGCATCTCGACTTTTATCGTGAAAGGCTCAGACAGACAAGAAGTGGGAGGAGGGCGAAGCGTCGGGATCGCGCTTCACTCCTATGGTTCTATCCGGTTGGCTGCTGCGAGCGCGTGAGCGCGCCCGGGCGGCTCCGTAAAGAAGAGAAAGAAAAAAAATAAAAGCGCTGATCTCGGCGTGACAGCTCAGAGCTGTCCACGTCAACACACCGAGAGAGCGGAGCGACGGCAGCAGCAGCAGCAATGGATTCCACGTCTCCGGTGAGCCTCTCCGCCGTTTCACCAACTAGAACGGGAACCAGTGTGCTTTCATTTCCAGGTGGATGGGATATTAATGTGCTCGGCGGTTTATATATTTTGGTTAGCAGTGTGCGGGACATTTGTTGCACTATAGCAGTTAAGGTGTTCGGCAAGAAGGGGGGTGGTAGACAGGCGGGAGGGAGGCTGGGAGGGGGGCTTGGGTGCAGATTGTCCATAAAGCAGAAACAGCTTTTATTTTTAAGTTAATGCTAGTGGACTCGGACTGGAGCTGACTGTGGACACGCAGGCCTGGTAACTGTTTGTCACGAAGCTAAAGTCACACTTTTTCTTTCTATGTGTATGTCATATGTACAAATATTATTGCTGATGGTGCTGACAGCGCGACAACTTCTTACGTTGTGAAGTAAATTCCATTACCGTGGAGCGGCTGACCCACAGCTGTTACACACTTATCCACACAGAGTCCAGCGTGGAGCGCAACAGGATGGCGCTACACGGTAATCAAGCAAAGCTTCGGTTCCTGCACGGATCACGCGTGTAAAGCGGACACTGTAGTGTTTAATGGAACAAGCGGTATGGTTAAAGCCGGTCTGCGTATTTAAATGCCTGCGTGTGTTGAGCATATGTGGACTGACGTGTAGACCAGAGCAGGTGCCACGTCCACTGTTCTCTCTCTCGCTCGCTCGCTCCTCTTTTGCCCTGCGCACCATTTATTCACTCCCTCTCGCCCTCTCTCTCTCTCTGCGTGTGTGAGTGTAAGTTTCTCTTTCTCTCTCATCCGTGCTTCTCCAGAATACCTCTATCTGTCCTAATTCTTTCTTCTTGGTTTACTCTTTCTCGGCTCTTAAAAGTATGATCTTAGCCTGCTTATCATCGTTTTCCTTATAAAGGACCGTAAATTGCATCATTTTGCATACAAAACTAGTGATACTCCTACACAATGTTTTGCTTTGTTATATATTGTTGAACAATATGCAGCAAAGGCAAAAAGTAGCTTTCTTATGTAATTTTACTAAAGTATTTTAAAGAAACTTTGCATTTTACTGCATGTTACTGTAGAACTTTGGCATTTTTTACATACAAAATCCTTTATTGTCCCAACAGCCCCAACTCGAATATCTATAACAGGAGAAATCTACTTGATAATGAATGAATATCATATAATATAAGGGCTGTTACTTTCAATATACTTATCTATTTACACTTTTCTAGTCAGTAGTTTCTGTGTAAGTAGTCTGTGAGTGTTGAGTATTTTTACATTGTGGCTTTGCTACTCAAGTAATCACCATGTGTACTACAACAAAGTAACTTAATCTAAGTGAAAGATTCACATTTTCCATTCCTTTCTTTCAGCTCTAAATTGGCTGGAACAGCCACAGCACCAAATTGCTGCTTACATGTTTATAAGAGGAATACATTCATATATAGGACAGAAAGCAGGGATAATGTGTTTATTGATATCAGTGTACTATTTTTAGTTGTGTTACAACCATTTTCCACTGGCTAAATGTTCAGAGATCGTGGTTTATATTGATATTGATGTTTAAAGTAAGAATCTTCTACAATTAACTGGCTGATTTACAACTAAAAGTGAGCAATGGAAAAGTAATAGCAAAAGTCAAATATAAAAACATGTATCTCGTGTATAAGGTAGGTCATGTAAAAATGCAACTCTTTAAAATACTACAGATGCCACTGGTTACTGCCCAAATGTTACTGGTATAGATGTTGGCCTACTGCATCCCCATCCATGCACTGATGGATATTTATCCAAATACTTTTGGATAAATGTAACTGTAACTACAATTCTAAATTGACATCCTAAATAAAGTAATATAAGTACATTATTCTGATAATACTCAGAACTGCATCGTCAGCGTATGATTCTTACAATGCCAGCTGTATAATTTGATTTATGTCTAGCTAATGTAAATTATCTGAGTAATTCTTTTACTTTTCTCTTACTTCTTCTCACCATCTTGCTCTTTCACTTCCGTTGAGATTTTTGATTATGCGTCTTTCTCAGACTCATTCTTTCTTTTTCCTGCCTCCCTGGTTTCATCTCTGCCCCTTGTATGTGTCTTGCTCCTTTCTCATGCATTTGCATCTTAATAATAGGGTTACACCCCCTATTTACTATTGCATGTCTGTGAAATTAAAGTTACATTTACATGATCTGTTTTTAATCTGGCCTTTTCTGGTTCTTTTCTTTTGGATCACTGTTATTAAGTGGAGTCATTTAAAACAACTGATCCTTCAGAAAAAACCCCCCACTATAAGTTGCACATTTAAAACACTGGGGGACATGGTTAAGTCTCAATATCTACACAGGGGATTAAAAATATTAATTAAAAAAAAGGTCAAGTGAAATATTCAGCCAACAAATTCATTTCACATAGATGCTAAACCAGCTAAGTCTGTACTTGGTTAGCTAGCCCAATTTACTGGCCCAGACATGGTGAGAGCTGCTGTTGCTTCTCCATCTCCATCATCATTAGAGCTTTGCTTGTCAATGTACTAAAGGAGTTATTAATAACTCATGTTATCTTCTCAACATGTTGGCCAAGGTGGTTAGCAAGAGGAGACTAATCTATTACAATGATAAATCACTAAACCCCGTTTATTTGTTCATGCTAACTGTGCTTCCACACAAAGCGCAAGTTTTGCAGCTCAAAACTGATCTCAGAGATTTGAGACTGACATTGTAGTCCAAAAGGTGTAGATGAGCCACAAAATATTTTCAAAAGTTTAACATTATAACAGTGTACCAGAACAATTAAATTAAGAGGACAATAAAAGTATCAGCCACAGGGGTAAAATTTATAATCAGTATTGAACATCCGACAACCCTTCAGCAAAAAAGAAACATAATAGATCACCAAACTACGGAGCCCCTCTGATGACATGGTCCAAAAAATAAATAAATTGTGGCCACAAAATACTATTTCGTGGGCACAAAATGGGTATAACGTGCGCACGAAATGCTAATTTGTGGGCACAAAACACTTGACCGATAACCGTGATCCTTCCCAGGCCCTTGCAGTTGGTTGGCAATAAAATCTATCCCGGCGTCCAGGTCGTACTTACGTCTGTAAAGCAACTGGGCTCTCAATAATAATAATTGCTATATAACTTTTGCACTGTCCACTTCCTGCTGGACAAACAAATTTCCCACGTTGGGACTAATAAAGTTATTTATCTTAATATCCTGTTTAAAGTCTCTCCGTATAAGTTCCTTGCAATGCCAGGATTTTCAAAATGCATTTGTAGCTCATTCCCAGCCTAAAATAAAACTCAATCATACTGTCTCTGTCCATGGTGTATAGGTTTAGCCTACTCTTATGCTTATGTCTCTACACAGCTGTCCAGGAATTGTATCAATATGATGTGCGCACGTTATCTATTTTGTTGCCACAAACGCATAATTCGTTGCCACGTTATACTCAATTCGTGCCCACAAATTAGCATTTCGTGCGTGCGTTATACCTATTTCGTGCCCTCGAAATAGTATTTTGTGGCCACAAATAAGTATTTCGTGGGCACATTATACTATTTCAAGGGCACGAAGTAGTATTTTGTGGCCACAATTTATTTATATTTTGGACCATGTCATCAGAGGGGCTCCGTACCAAACAGCAAAGAGGTCATTGATAAAGTACAGTTCATTTTTTTTTATTAAAATCAATGTTTGACTTTAAAATGAGCCACATTTAGCATTTCCTTTATTACAGCATCAGCTAAAAATATCCTTTATTTTGCAAATTGTGTTCCTACCATGCAATCGCATGGCAAGATGCTGTAAATGGACCAAACTTCAGTCAGGAGAACTGAGATAACCCATCCACAATACGAGGTTAGTCATTAATTTACTGTTGCATGGGCTGGGCTGTAGTTACATCATAAGGTTTTAAAAACTGAGCTTTAAAATGTATAGTGGTAATAAAAACAGAGGCTGACAGTGATCACTGCCTTTTTTTAGGGGCTTGTTCAGATTAAATAGAACAAGATACAAAACATTAAAACATGTTAAAAACACAACAGCCTTAATAAACGCAGAGTAGTTTGGACCCAGAAGCAGGGTTGATACGTCATCACTTAAAGACCGGATACTTAGGGAGACAGTATTTGTCAAAGTAACATCCACATGAATGGCAGAACCCAATAGAACATTGAACAAAGCATCACACTGCCTTTGCCAGCTTGTCTTCTTCCCATAGTGCATCTTGGTTCCAGGTGTTCTTCAGGTAAGTGACATACATGCCATCCACTTGATGTGAAAAAAATTCAAAGATTTGGCAGACCAAGCTACCTTCATCCATCGCTCAAAGGTCCAATTCTGATATTCACATTCCAATTGTTGCCACATTCCACGGTGAATAGGGGTCAGCATGGCATCCTGAGTGTTCTGCGGCCATGATGCTCCAACTGTGTATTCTGAAACCTTTCTATCGGAATCTGCATTACATTTTTCAGCAGTTTGAGCTACAACAGCTTGTCTCTTGAATCCGACCACACAGACCAGCCTTCATTCCCCATATGCATCAATGAGCCTTGGCCACCCATGACGTTGGTTCACCACTGTTCCTTCCTTGGACCACTTTTGATTAGGGATGGGTATTGATAAGATTTTCACGATTCCGATTCCATTTTCGATTCTGTTTAACGATTCGATTCTTTATCAATTCTCTTATTGATTCTTTTTAAAAAAAGGAGAACACTAAAGTCAATTAGCTTAGAACTTTGTTTTATATCTTCCCTTTGAACAAGATAGAAATTTAGGAGTAGCATGGCCTTACAAACCCAACAGTGAGATCTTAAGAGATCCAGCCTATGGCTCTTCAATGGGGTGTCACAGGGTCCCCGGGGAAAAAAAACTGTAAAATAATAAAATAAATATTCTTCTGTAGGAATAACAAAGTATAACATAAATTATTCTGTAGCAATTACACAAGAATATCCAGTAATGTCCCTGCCTACAATTAAATACATTCACTTACCGAAAATCGGGGCATCTGCTGTGGCAAATGGGTGCAAGCCTTTTACCACAAACTTAGTCACTGCTCAAACTTAGTCACATTCGTCTATCCTGGCCTGAAAGGAGACGCTACCGGTAGACTGCAGCGAGAACTGCCAGCATCTGAGCCAGCCAGACTCTGTCTCATCATGGTCACTAAATGCACAGTAATAGCAGGTTTTGTAATAAGGCGGATCGCGCTAACATAATACGCACTGTTAGTTGATTATTTACCTGCCGCATTAACGGGAGAAGACGTGCAAACGTTACCGCTGCTGCTGGGTTGAGATTCACGAGTCCGGAGCGGAATTAAAATCACGACATTCATTTAAGGTCATCGCGTGTTTTGTGAGCAAATGCTTTTGCATATTCGCAGTGTTTCCTCCCTCAAATGAAATATCTACTTTGCAAGTATTGCAAGTTGCCCTGTTGTCATCCGTTCTCATAAAGTATAACCAAACTTTTGAGCGTTTAAGCCGCTTAGGCGCCGTTTCCTGCCAGGTAAATGACGCTCCGCAACGTGGTGACGTCATTCGGGGCGACTGGAATTGATAAGGGAATCGTTTGCAAAAATGGCAAACAATTCCAAGGAATTGAAACAGTGGGAACCGGTTCTCAACAAGAACCGGTTTTCGATACCCATCCCTACTTTTGATACATATTGAAAACTATACACTGGGAACATCCAAGAAAGAGCTGCAGTATTGGAGATGCTCTGACAGTCATCTAGCCACCACAATTTGGCCCTTGCCAGACTCTCTGGTGGAACAGAGGCCATGATGAAGAGTTAATCAGTGTTATTCATATCACCAGTCAGTGATCATAATGTTATGCAATGTGGATATGAAAGACAGGGTCAGAGGCAGATTGCACCAGAAGTTTCAGTATTCAAATCTCTTTCCAAAATATGATTCTTCAGCTTGATATCTGTTAATGAGTTTAAGTTTGCTGTTTATCTAAACATAGACTGCACAATACTTAATAATGGCTGACATATTGCACCTGGACCCTTCAGCACTTAATAAAACTTACTAACTAGGTGACTGCTGAATGTACTCGTGCTTGTAGCCATTAGCAAACTAGCTAAGAACAGAGACATAAGCATATAGGATCTGTTCTCATGCCTGAAACTCATATTTGTTTAATTGGACAGTGGTACATTTGTCTCCTAGTAACTAATTCATAATTCAGTGGCATCTTTACCGGCTAAAACATGTTCTGAAGACCCAATGAAAACTATTTGATGTAACATTTTTTAATATAATATGTATTGGGCTATAGGTTGACATAACCTACACTCCATGATCAAAGATATTCTTTTTATACTTTAGAGTTTCTGGTTTCCTGGAAAAATATTGAGAACTCCTTCTGCACTTGGTAGCAAATAATAGTCTTTATTTTTATGGCCTTGCCTTGTGACTTGAGCTAGCTGCTAGCTTTCCTTCAGTCAGTTGTCAGCATACACCTCACGTGCACTTTGCTAATCAGAATGTTGTTAAGAGTAGGTATTTCTGCTGCATCTTCACCTGCTTCCAGGGTGTATGGAGAAAGGAAAAGAAAGGAGTAAAAAATAGTATTAAGAATGACCTCGTTACATGACAAATTAAAGTAAAAGACTTGCAGTACTTGTCATTGGTTATGTAGTGTTTACCTACAAATGCTATATGCTATAACTACAGTATGTTGGAGTATGTCCGTGTATGTTTACTCATCACTTAAAGTTCAGTCAGCATCAACATAACAAGAAACACGTTTGATCAAATGAAGGATAGACTGAGCCATCTACAGCTTTAGGACTCTGGTTATGTGAGCCTGGAATACTGGACTTTGGATGAGCTAAGTGTCTGGTCTAAGTTCTGTGATACACTCTGACTGTGAATCTGTGCTAGTCAGTGCATAACAGAACTTTGTCCCGGGTCTGAAAAATCATCGCAGGGATGGACAGATAGCTGTCTAGATGTGGATGCAGGAGAATGGAAAATGTATTAAGTAGAAATATGTGATAATTCCCAGAACTGGAAAACTGTAAAACAAACCAGGATAAACAACAAAGATTAAAACACTGAATAAACTGCAGCATAAATTGTAGAAACTGGTTGGACTGGGCAGCTTCAGTGTGTGTAAGTAGATGAGAGAGTATTTAAAAGAGGCTGCTGCTGCAATGCTCTTTTAAGTGTTATCCAGGTATGAGAGGAACAGATGTGACTGAAGCTATGCTATTATGTTCAAGATGTTTCCCCAAGATGACTCAGCGAAGCTAAAATATTTTCAATGTTCTTTCTGTTTATCGCTGCAGGAACCGTCCCTCTACACAGTTAAAGCAGTTTTTATTCTCGACAATGATGGAAACAGACTTTTGTCAAAGGTGAGTTCAATGTGGTCTTTACACAAGGGAAAAAATGGAAGCGCTTTAATATAAACTTTGTTTTGTATGACAAAAATATGAAAGGGAGTACTTTCATGAATAAGTCACAATATGGGACATAAGTTTTATATGACTTAAACATGAAATTTACATTGCACAATAAACAATAACCATTTACTACTGAGGGTAATTTAAATTTACTTCAAAGCCCTGTATCTGAATTTTTTGTACTTTTTTCTTGTAGAAAATGTAAACAGTATTTTGAGGAACACATTAATATATTTGTTAAGATGTGCCTTGATCAGCCTTATTGTTGTCTTATACATCTGCAATGTTTATTTCAGAACTGTTCCAAATAATTATTGCTGTACAATATTAGAAAGAGACCTCTGATGATTAAGAGCAGCACTTAGTGAGAGTAGGGTAGAAGAACGTCCTTTCTTCAAAGCACCTCAATCAGGACCAGGATCAGTGAGAGACAGTCACCTGCTGTGTGTGTGTGTGTGGGGGGGGGGTGAATGAAAAGCGAAGACAGAAAATAGGACAAGCGATGTCTGTAGAGTAAATATGAAACCAGTCAGTTAGCTTACCAACTAGCTTGGAAATTTCCAAACAAAACAAAATCTGAGTTTTCAGTGACTGATTCACAAATAACGACTGCCCTGATTATCACCAGCTGAGTCGTCTACCTACAGTCAGAAATAATAAGTGGCTATGGCCGAAGTAGATAAACCTGAGAAAAGATTTCTCAGCTTCAACTTGATTAAAGTAACTAACAGTGAGTGCAAAGGATGCCGCTGATATGTTTGTGTGGGTTAGGGGTGCATTTGATTGAGTTGATTTCATTGTTTGTAACAGTAAATACTAAGTGGTAAAGTTTAACTATCAAGTTTAGAATTTACTAGCAACGCACTATGTAAGTAAACTGAGTCACTCATAAAAGTTCCTGTTTTAGTACTATGACCCAGAGCTTTACCCCTCCATGAAGGAGCAGAAAACCTTTGAAAGGAATGTTTTTAACAAGACACACAAAGCAGACAGTAAGTTCCACTCTCTTCTGTTTTATGTAGATCTGTTCTGGTGTGTGATGCATGCGCCCCCACCCCCACCCGTCGCTCCCTCCCTTTGTATTGTGCTGAATGTTCACAGACGTCTCCAGTGTCCAGACTGTTACACACTCTCTTGTCACTTGTAACCTAAATCACTTTTTACATTGACCTGGTTTCCACCCGCCAAACCATGCTAGACCATTATTTGTGGCAGAACGCTGTAGTTGGTATTACCCTTGTAAAACTTTTGGATTTTCATTCTTTTGGATGAAAAACCTGACCTACCCATAAGCTTTTTTGTAGGATTCCAAGTTTCACCCAACTGATACCTGAGTCTCTACCCCTGGCCTCTTTAACACGTTGCCATTATCTCTCCTTTTGTCCTAATCTTCATTCCTTATTTTCTCCACTTCTGCTTTGTCTTTCTTCTCCCCTTTTATGTTTTATCTATCAGTTCCACTCCTTCCCAACATTCATTTGTATCATTTGTTTCTCCGACTCATCTCCTTCCTCTCTTTATATCAAGTTTCTGTCTAATTGCTTTTCTGTCACTCGTCTCTGCCTTCTTTCCCTCTCACCCCTTTGCTTGCCTGTCACTATATATTTGGCAGTTGTGTCACTGAATAAACTTTATTTTACACTTCTATATAGAAGCAAATTAATAAAGTCATGCTTATGCTAACCCTGTCACGTCTCATTCTCTATCTAGATGAAATAGCTTTTCTGGAAGGCATGACCATCGTGTACAAGAGCAGTATAGATCTTTTCTTCTACGTTGTGGGAAGTGCTCAGGAAAATGAGGTGAATTAAATTTTGTCTGCCAATAAAGTACATCTGCAGTAATAAAATTAAAATTCATTGTGAATATGTTACGTCAAGTTTATCTGCATATGTTTTAAAAGGAGCTCAGTCATTTTTGTTCAAATGTTTACTCACATAAGCGTGCTTTTATTTTTTTATTTATTTTTTTAAATTTTATTCTGCTTTGTATTCTGAAGGCAGAATGGCATGTGTTCCATGTCACCAGACGGTTTCTTGTTTCTTCTCAGCTCTTAAACAACAAATTCATCCAATATTATTTTTCACACAAATCACATAAGTTACAGTAGTAACCTCTTAACAAGAGTTAGGCTCATATCAATATTTTTTTATGGAATTCTCAGCTGTAGGCACACAAGACAGTTTAAAGGTAATTACTTGTTGTTTCTAAATTCAGTTGCCTGCTCTGGTGTCACAGAAAGGTTGCATTTCTTATGCAGCATTCTCAGAGTCAGATTAATGTTTCACTGACATTAAGACAAACAGGCAAAGAAAGCAAAAAACAAAAAACCTTGAATAGGTCAGCATGTCCACTGGACACTGAGCCAAAGTAAGAATGAACATTTTAGGAATATAAGAAACAAAGACAGTGCTGGGGTTTTCTTTGCTCTGTTAGAACGTTGTTGGGGGTTATTTGAACTTTAATAATTCAGTGTTAGAAGTAAAATACTCCTTAAAGTTAATCAAATGAAGTCAATTGTCCAAATTTCTAGAAGACTATAAAATATTATATTATATTATACATATTATAATATTACATATATATTAATATTATATTATATATTATATTATATATTATATTATGTTAATATTATATTATATTAATATTACTATATAATATAAAATAAGACTATAAAATATATTGTATTTTGTCTACAATATATTGTAGACAAAATACAATATATTTTATTGTATTATGTATTATAGAAATACATAAATATAATATTTATGTGTTTCTATAAATACTCTTTGGTGCAATGCAAAAAAAAAAAGTAAAGACGGAAAAAAACCTGGAAAAAGTTGTGTGTTTATACACTACAATTGAAAACTTGGCGATACCTTCACATAATAATGATTTCTATTGTAAAATGCTAAAGATTATTTTCAAGGAAAAATAAGATACTCCATGAAATCTACTTAATTAGTCTAGTAATTGCTCTTCAAATTGAGGTGCTTCAGGGCAGTAACATTTACCATAAAGGTTCAGTTAGCTACAGTCTCTTTCATTTGTACAGCCTGTGGGATTTATGGATTTTTTTAAGCTATTTTCAGGGATTGTTCTATATGTTGCAGTTGTGTGGAGATTGTTTTGGGTTACAGCTTGGTTGGAAAGTTTTAAACCTATAATGATTAATAAAAGAACACTTCTCATGAGCAGCATATTCACCGATATCACAGGTGTCGAAATCCAGGGCTCGAGGGCCGGTATCCTGCAGGTTAAATGGCTAAATGACCTCCTCAACATGTCTTGAAGTTCTCCAGAAGCCTGATAATGAACTAATCATTTGATTCAGGTGTGTTGACCCAGATTGAGATCTAAAACCTGCAGGACACCGGCCCTCGAGGCCTGGAGTTCGACACCTCTGACCTATATACTTTGCTAAGCTGGTATATGTTGAATGTGCAGTATTTAGCTTATTTAGGCCATGAAATCTAATTGATTCTGCTTTAACATCAATTTGCATTGATTTATATCTTTGTATCTCATATACTGACTTTTCTTTTTCTTGGTAGCTCATGCTGATGTCAGTACTTAACTGCCTGTTTGACTCCACCAGTCACATCCTCAGGTACCGTCTTCAAAAAAAAGTTTTTTGTTTTCAAGAAAAAACAAAAACTGCATAAGTGAGTGGTTTCATTGATATTTTGTAATGATGTTTAGAACAATACAGAGGTAATCAGAGCCCAAATAGAGAAATTCACAATCTTCTTTTTCAGACTTTTCTTCATGCAAATGAATTAGAGCTTTTGTCCTCCATGTAGCCTCAGTAGCATCAAAGTGTTATAATAAATAATGTGAAATATAAATAATTATATTTAATAAATAAATTAAACTAAATGACAAATAGTACTCCTTTTTCATTTTAACCTGTTAAAGCTCATATCAGAGTCCCTCACTGTTTATTGCAACATTAGTCAAACAATGATGGGTATGGTTACTATGGGAACCAATGCAATAGTAATGCAGTGTGTGAGTAACTGAGACTAAGGAGAGATTGAGCTATTGTGAGGGCAAAAAATAAAAATAAAGCAATAATGGGTTTTTAAAAAGCCAGAAATGTGAATACTTTAAGTTACTTAAGTTAGAGGAATAAAAACTTTAACTTAAAATGATGATGATCATATGAGATCCTAAGTAACGTGTCTAATGACGCGTGTAATTTTTTTATTTATCCTGCAGGAAAAATGTGGAGCGGAGGTGTTTATTGGAAAACATGGAAGGAGTGTTTCTTGTTGTGGATGAAATCATTGATGGGGGGTGAGAGAAAGAAAAGTTTATCCAACTAGAATAGTCAATATGAGTTCCTTTTGATCATTTTGCCTGATATTTATAGGCAAAATGATGATAGGTATTTCTATTATTAAAATAAAAAAATGTTTAGTATGTAAAATGCCATGATCCCATAAGCAATCCCAGTCCTGCTTATACAGAACTCTACCCTTATTGGTTGTTTTTCCTGTTGCCAGGGTGATTCTGGAGAGTGATCCACAGCAGGTCCTACAGAAAGTCAACTACAGGGTAAGATTTCTGTCAGTTATTCCCCAAAACCTATTGTATCAGTATAACCATTGGAAATTCAAACAGAAAACAAGTGTGTTAGATTGTAGAAATACAAATCAATGCAGGTGTTTGGTCTGATTAGAACGGCTACATCAAGATTTGCTGTAGCTCCCTTTAGCTTTTTTGACTTGCTTCTTGCCTTCTCTTCCCTGTTTTACTTTTCTTCCTGTCCTTCTCCCTCTCTCTCTTCTTCTGATTGGTGTCAGCTAATGTCAGAGCCAGCCTATGGCTTCGTCCTCTTTGATTACATCACCGGTAACCTAGAGGCACAAACAGACAGGAGCCAGCTGCTGTAGACAGACAGACAGACCGAGGGTGAGAGAGGAAGAAGGCCAATGTGAAAGATAGTGACGTGGAGAGAGAGAAAGAGTGAGTGAGTGAGAGAGTAAGAATGAATGGATGAGAAGGAGTAAGACTCAGTGAAGGGAGGAAGGAGGAATGGGCAAAACAGAAAAGGTAAATGCATGGTGGGAGAGCATGTGGACTAACATGTTATTTTTCTGTACTTGATAACTATGACCTGCTGGTGGCGCTAGAGTAACACTGAAGACGTCATCCAAGTGAAAAGAGTTATTCTCTGGGAACTGTGTCAATCAGATAATTAAAGTGAATGATTGCATACCAGACGGTGCTTGCCCTGAAGCTACACCACAAGCATGGCTACAAGCTCCACTATGAATTGTGACTGGTTGAACTGTTAACTAGCACTGTTTGAATGTCACTGGGTTATAGTGTGCTATTCTTTGTTCCACAGATCTAATGCACTGTGTGTGTGTGTGTGTGTGTGTGTGTGTGTGTGTGTGTGTGTGTGTGTGTGTGTGTGTGTGTGTGTGTGTGTGTGTTAAGTATTTGACTTTTTTTCATGTCATTTTGATTACAGGCGGATGAGAACCCATTAACTGAACAAAGCGTGGCTCAGGTAATACACAAGCAAACAGACTCTGTGAATATCATTGCCAAAGCTATACACACAAACATGAAGGCATCACATGCATACACAAATGCAGTTCAATTCAGTTCAGTTTTATTTATATAGCACCAATTTGCAACAACAGTCTTTTCAAGGCAGTTTTAATTGTAAAGTCAATCCTTCAGTGGGTCGGAGCTGTTTTAGAGGCACTGGAAGGACATAAAGGCATTTAATAATGTCACCCCCAAAAAAGCTAATGCTCTATAACTGACACACCACAATGAAGAAAAGGAGGATAACCATTAGTGGCAGAAGAGGAGATTCTCTAGTTGACGTATCAATTGCTTACTGAGCAATTACAATTATGTTTTGAGCTATAACAGACAATGCCTGACCTCACATATTTCCAAAATTTTAGTCACATGGTAAATGGACTGGTTCTTATATAGTGCTTTTCTACAACTTGCCTCATTCACCCATTCATACAAGCATTTTAATGCTTTTTCTGCTAAAGTGCTTTATATCTGACATTCATTCATGCGCTGATTGATGCATCGGAGAGCAACTTGCGGTTAGTTTTTTGGCCGAGAATATTTGGCATGCACATTTATTATTTATCTTGATTGATGGACAGATGGAGGAGAGCTGAATACTAAACTCAGAGATCATGTCCACTCGTGTGTTTTCCCCATTTACTCAAATTAAAAGAGTTTTTGAAAAGATTATAAGCTATGAACGTTCATACCTTGGTTGACATTCTCATCTCATTTCCATTAGTTTCTAATTATGCTGCCTGTACATGATGATAGAAATTTGACAGCTTGTAGATCTTGACCAATGCAATGCTATTGACTAAACACAACTTGCGGTATATCTTGACTCTAACGTGCATCTAACGTTTTTACGTGATCAACACAATAGACACGCTGCACATTAGGCTGCCTTTAAATGCCATACTGAATCAAGGGCCTTTAAATTTGAGCTTAGTGCGCCACCTGCTGGCCGATTTCTCACTGCTGTAATTTAACCTCTTCTAAGGACTGAAAAACAGTTAAAAGATAAACCAGTAAAGAACATACAAGAACAAGCTGTTGAAACATGTAGATTTTGAAAACATTAACCCACTGTATTTATTTAGTGGCAGTAGAACAAAGATGTGTTTTGTATTACGATTTTGTTGCGCTTTAACATGGTGGCATGACTTCACATGGTTGTGAGCATAAGCTCAGCCTGCCCTCTAGTGTTTAAACAGTCGTACTGTAGCACCATGCTTTACTGTGCAGGAGTTCTCAGTTATGTAAAGCATTAGAACCACTCTACCTTTACTAAACAGACTTGTATTCTACGGTAAGATACTTTTTGACATTATATTGTAATGTAAAGGGTAATACTGGACTGTGCTAAGGTTTCAAAAACTTCTGTAACACATATATGAGAGCAACAGAACGAGCAGTGTTATAACTAAGTTACTATAGTCTAAACCCAATCTTTTCCTAAAACGAACTATTTCTGATGCCTAAACCAAATACATATCAGAAGTTAGAATAAACACATTAAATGATATATGTGCATACTACACAAAGGTTGCATTTTCTGTTTGTTTATAAAGCAGTTGTCATTCATGTTTTGTTATTATATAATTTTCTTTCATTTTTTTTACTTTTGCAGGTTTTGCAGTCAGCCAAGGAGCAGATCAAATGGTCTATACTGAAATGACTGAAAACAAATCTGATTTTCCAAAAAGAATGTTTCCAGTCCCAAAGTTATTTTACAGGGCCAAACTGAAGGGATGGATGTTACTGAAGTGATGGCCAATAGGCTGCCTTAGGTGTGTTTTTTGTGACATTTTTTTTCTATTGTGTGTGACAAGTATTTAATTCATTTGGGAGTAAACATAGCCCATATGTGGAGGTGCCATTTAGCAAGCCAAATGACACTTCTTATTTTATTATCATAAGTAATATGCAGGCAGCTATCCAGTACCTGAATTATCAAAAGAAGTGCAAGAGATTGGTGGAACAACATTGTTCTCAGTCCCACCGAACTGATCGTGGCTTCTGGGTTTCTTTGAAGAGTTATGCTCCCCCCCCCCTTTCACATTGTGTGTGTGTGTGTGTGTGTGTGTGTGTGTGTGTGTGTGTGTTTGACTGTGTCAACAATATTACAAAGCCAAATTAATTTCTATTACAACACTACAAGAATACAGAAGGTAATACTAAAAGTTTGTTGTATTGAGTTTCAATTGACTCGTTACACTCATGATTTCCATAATGCTTCTTTGAAGCCCAAAAGCAAATGCAGTTATGTTTTATGACACTAAGAAGGCACTGTGGTACAGATGCAGGAAATCTAATTTAAGGAAAGTCTGCACATGTGAATGAATTTTAGAACCAATGGGAGCTTAAAAAAGATAAAAATAAATAAATAAAAAAGTGCACAGGATCCTGTGGCCAGAGTTACAAAGAATATTGTCTATTCTACTGTTGTGATGATAATTAAAGATTTTAAAAGACATTACATGTTTTGTTAGTGGAGAGAAATATGGCCAAAGAGAAACTAATTATTATTTTTACATATCAATGTTGTTTTCTCTGTCTGCAAGAGAGATAATAAAACTATATTTGTCCTGGTTTCAGATGGTCTGCTTAGCCATTATATATTCTTGTACTTTTATTTTTACTTTCAATTAGTTCATCCCCGTGGATGCCGCATTTATTTGCGTTCAAAAGTGTCTAACATAATGAATATTAATAAGCACTCTAAAAGACTTCGTTTGTGTGGGCGTGGTCTGGAAAATTATTTGCAGAAATCAGGTGACGTCAGTTGGCACGTGGTTAAACTCACCGAGCCAATGGTTCGTTATGGGTTTATTTTCCGATGATATTATTGGCTGGCTGCCGCACACGCCTGCAACTCATCGGAGGGCACAAGAAATCAGACGAAATCCTTAAATTTAAGGTACAAAGAGAAAATTAATGTTTTTATGTTATTACCAGATTATTTATTATTTTGGCTGAAATTGAATTATTATTGATATCCTGAAATAAAACTGAATAATACTTTTGAAATGAAGGTTGTCTTTTCTTGATTTTCACCAGTGTTTAATCGTAATATTTGATCGTAGACCTATTTGATGTATTACTTCATAGTTAATTATATTTAATGGTTTAAAGAGTAACAATGTATTTAAATAAGTCATGAAAAATATATTTCCATGCATTGTAATGTTATTTTTTGATTATTTATTAATTTAGTCGAAGAAAGAGGTAAATCCTTTATAACAGCATCAGTAAGATTCAGCGTGATAGCAGCTACTCTTATTTAATTGATCCTTGGTGAATGTGCAGCCTGAAAATAGGTGGAATAAAAGTGCATGCAATCAAAAAAAATATTAGTATGGATGAAATATTAGTAGGAATTCGACCGAAAAATGTTTTCACCATATTGAGTATCTTGGTCTGGCTGACATAGAGCGACAGAGAGCCATTGACTTTCACACCTACAGCCCATCTAGAATCGCCAAGTTACCTAATACATCTGACACGTCTGAATACTAGTTAAGAATGATTATTAATATCCATTGTACCACATGTGTAGAAACGAACATGGGGTCATAGAGATGAATTTTGGAATAGAACAGAAAAGCCCTTTATGGTTATTGTACATGTACAACGAAATTATGGGTGCTCCAGGCCAACTGTGCTTGAGTAAAAAATATGAATACTAAAGACATAAAGAATAAATAGGAAACAGAAAAATATATATACAGTCAAGAGGAATATATACAAAACAAGAGAAAGACAAAAAAAAATGATAGAATGACAGCTTCTGACTCAGTTTTATTAATAATTAATTGTCCTCTCTTTATTGTCAAAATTGATGCGTTTAGCATGACATTGCTCTTCTATGGTTTGTTTCTGAAATATGGCAAAAGTGGGCATTAAAGGTCTGACTGAAATAGTGTCAGTCAAACAGATGTACATTATTGGACATATCAACAGATGTACGATAATATAGTATATATTATAACACAATATGGTACTTATTCTCTTTCACGAATGAATTTGAATGAGCCCCCATCCTTCTTTCCACAGATTGTAGTTTCTATATCACCTTGTTACATTATCCCACTTTAAATATTTTCTTTTTCTTTCTTTCTTTAACTTTCAGTGGGTCTTTCAGATCACTGTGGAGGAATTCTGGTCCATTCTTCTTTTCAGAATGTTTGTAATTCAGCCACACTGAAGGGTTTTCCAGCATCGGAAGTAAACTGTTTTTCACGCACTGTACATATATGAATAAAAATACAGTTAGAGGCATGAAAACTCACTTCTTGTCTATTTAGACAAGAAGTGAGTTTTTCATGCCAAATAACCCATTAACCAAATGGTTAATGGGTTATTTGGCATGCTGATACTCTTCTAACCTCATGAAGGTGCAAGATCAAATGGACCCATGACGCTTGCACTTCAGGCTAGGTAATTTATTATGATTAGGCAGATGACCCTGGCTAATAGTTCATTTTGTTCAAAAACGCTTTAACAATTTAGATTTCTGCTAATGTTCAAACCATGTTACACATGTCTGTGTCTCAAACAGATTTTCAGAAATCAGTTGTTGTATGAAATCATAATTCATATTTTGGAAACAGATACGTATCTCTTAACTTTGAAGCTTCAAGGATTTAAGATAGTGAAGGTAGCTAATTTTAAATACCTGAGGTCAAACATCCAAAGCAAAAGATTTTTCACAAGAGCGGTGAAGAAGAGAGTGCAGGTAGGCAGGAATGGGTGGAGACAAATGCCAGGTGAGATTGGAGATAGGCAGAGGGGAACAGGATGACATGACAATGAGCTAAGAACAACTGAGGGAGTAAATATAAATTGGGATGTGGCCAAAGTGGAAACACCTGTAAAAAACACAGAGCTGAACTAAATCTAATAATGAGACATAGGAAGTAAGTATAAACAAAGCACAAGCACAGATGACTAACAAAATAACTCATGAAGAACTAAACAAGGGGACATCACTGACAGATACTAAAGCATAGACGGGGAACACTTGGCGAGACGGTTTAAACTGAAAGAAGAAATATAATAAGCTCAATAAGTGGAACAAAAGCACAAAGCACAATTAATAAGAACGAGGACTATAACCACTTCACCAAATTCAAAAAGAAAAAGGAAATGACAAAACTCAAAACAGCAGGTCAACAACCCAGGGACCATCACGCACCATTTCCCATTCTCATACAGTTCCTGCAGCAGCTTAAGTTTGCCTGTTTGACAGAAGTGGGAAGTAACAAAGTACAAATACTCTACAATATTACTGTACTTTAGTAGAATTTTCAGGTATTTTACTTGAGTATTTCTTTTTCTGACAACTTTTTACTTTTACTCCCTACATTTTTAAACAAATATCTGTACTTTCTACTCTTTGCATTTTCAAAACAGACTCATTAGTTTAGGTTCAGCAGTATCATCTATAGCGTTTATACACAGGAGTTAAAGTGACCGGAAGGAGTACTTCAAAACTCTAGCTAGTGCAAAAGAATAGGAGGAAGCATGAAAAGAATGATGATTTTTAAGTGTCAGGTAATTTCAAATTCAATGTCAGCTCAACAAACATCAGCAAACACACAAACTGTTTGTGTGCAGTTTGTCTCACAGTGTGTTGCAGCTAAAGATCCAGCTGTTGTATTTCACATCGAGAGAAAAGAGAGAGAGCTAACTTCACTCAGAGATGGAGAAAGATAAGAAAAACAGGAAGACGAGAGGTTAGATTTAAAGGTAAGGGCTGCTCAGGGGTGTTTGATGAACTGCAAATTTAAAGCCTACTTGTAATGTCTTAATTTTGATCACATATTGCATGTGTATATGATATGTGTCGAGGAATTATATATTTTCATGTTGTGAAGTATTCTGCAAAGCAAAGCTATACAAACTTTGTGTTATTCAGATGTTGCCTGAAAATACTGGGTAGTTTTGTTCAGGATAAACAGGTTAGTTTGCAGGACTGTGGTGAATTCACAGTAAAGATCTGTGTTGGACTTGTGCACAGTGGCTTTGGTGCTCATGGTAAGATTTAGGTTATATTAAATGCAGAAATAAATTTGCATTTACAATGATGAATTCAGACTCAATCACTGAATTCCAGCTTTATACCAACCGCATACTGTATAGTATAAAGACTTTCAGTGCAGAGGATGGACATGAACCATCAAAGCTAGTGAAACTGCAGACATCTTGTTAAGTTTAGCTGTGTAAATCCACAAAGAGCAGCAGGTCAGTTGATCATAACGTGTACACTAAGAAAACCCACTGAAGCTCACATTAGAAATTATTGTAAGTTGTGATTCTTTTCTCCATGCTGAACCACTACACTGACCTTCGGGTTTCCCAACCTGCTGAATTCCACTTCAACGCCTGACTGATCTTATTTTACTGTTTATGTGTGGAGGTAAAGTCACCCTCTACAAATCAGGGGAAGATAAATATATATATATATAAAATATTTTTCACTGCATGTGTCCTAGACAACACACTTCAAGCTAAGTAAATTCATTAGAATTAGACTTTAAATTTGAACAATTTTTGTATTATCATGTACTAATATTATTTTATTATCATATTAACATATCCCAAGGTTCAGCTACCTTTGCACAAAAGCTGTTAGTAGAATTATCCATTAAGGAGCTACCTTTTACTTTCTTAATCTAAGTACATTTGAAAGCCTGTACTTTTTCCCTTTTACTTAAATAAAAACGTTGCTGCAGTACTTCAGCTTTTTATTGTTGAAGTACTGCAGCTATCTGTACATCTAGGTAAGTAAAGAAAGTCTGTGCTTTTGCCACCTCAGCTGCTGACAACACAAAATGAAGATGCGTTTTTCCAGAACCGAAAGCACTTTTGCATATAGGATCTGGCGACCCCTAAAGGCAGCAGTCACAAAAAAAAAAGATAGTGAAGTCTTCAAACTATTTACGCAGATGTGTTTTACAGATTGAAAAATATACTCAGAATACAGACAAATACACATATTTACAATACAAATATATGAGTATCTATAGTGTCTATACACAGAGACTGGAACTCTTAGACTTTACACAAGTGTGCTCCTTTTATCTCATGTGATTCCTAACACAGGTGGCTGCAGGAGGGGTGATTACTTACAAGGGGTCTACAAAAGGTTTTTGCTAAGTTTTTACTAAGCTGTAAAAACATTATTACTATATACATTACTATATACAGTTTCATAGATAGATTGATTGATCTATGGGGGAACAGATTGATGATAAGAGCGGTCTGTGTGGGGTGTCTGTAGCTCAGGTAGGAGAGCAGGTCGCCTACTAACCGGAAGGTTGGTGGTTTGATCCCAGTCTCCTCCAGTCTGCATACCAAGATACTAACCCCATTAATGTTGAATGTTAGATAGATGCAGGTTGGTGAATGTACAATTTGTGTGAAGTTCAGATAGAGCAGAAAAGCTATATAAAAACTGGTCTATTTATTAAAAAAAAAAAGACAATGGAGAAGACTGTGAAAGAGTAGGTAGGGTGTTAAGGAGAGAAATGCAGAAGTATGGATGCTAACAGATTTTGCACAACACCGGGCATAAACCGGTCCGTGGCGCAAA